AAATAATAATATTATACTATATGAATACGTTTAATTGTTATATTAATATAAGGTTTAAAGGAAAATTCGTACATCAACACTTTTATTCTATTGTCAAGTGAAAGAAGGACTGTACTGTGTGCAATTTTATTTTAAACTTGTTTACCTATGGAAGAAATTTGGATAAAATAAAGAAAAAAAGACATATTTGGGAAAAGGTAAAAATTTTACGAAATTTAAGTGACAACGGACGAATAGTCTTAGGTTTTTGCTACAGTGGTCATAATGGTAATTTCCGGGACATATCTCGTTATTCAAAACCTTCTTCGATATAATTTTGTCATTAAAGGTCGACTCAAAAATATAGGCACAAGCAAACACCACTCTATCAGAAAGTGGAGAAACTAATTAAAGGGAGAAAATACGCAGCTGGAGAAAGTGTATCATGAGTAAATACGGAAATAAATCAAACTGGACTGCTGTCTAAACAAGTGGCCATGTTTACGGGTATTTCAAAGATGGCGGTGCTGTTGCTATGGCAACGCTGCAACCGACGCACCGACCTACTTCGCCTAAATGTTAATGACCTCCAAAACCCAGGTCGAAGTTCACGCGGAGCACGAGTAAGAGATTCTCTATCTACCCCTATAGATGACATCCACGGGTCGGCCCATGTATTGATCCGGAGTAATTTCTGTTCGAGATGGAATCTAGGTTAATTCGGGCCGCAGCGTTGGTCACGTAGCCCCATGGAAAATTTGGAAGAAATCTGTTTACAACTCGCCCTCCGACTGTTGTCCCCTTTGAGGTGATTTATTTTCGTTTAATATAACATAAAAGCTTTTTAGCTACGTAACCTCTTTTGTTTGCAACTTTGTATAGGATTTAAGCATGATGCTAGACCTAAACTTTATGTAAACAAAAATTTGATATCTGTCGGGTTTGCAATGAGTTAAATATTCTTTTAGATATTTTATCAATTAGTTGAACATGATTTATACCTTGTTCTGGTAGTGAGGTGTAATTTTTAACTTCATATTATATGATTTTTGAGACATTTTGAGTACTATTCCATAACATAGTATGCAATTTTAATTCTAAAATGTTAACAATATGTTGGCCCAATAAACATAACTAACGATATTATAAGCCACACTCCTACATGCTAAGCAGTGATAGCGTACATGCAACACAAAGGAAAATGCAAATATTTTTAGCATTGCCGAGATGACTGTGCCTAGTCCTATTTTGCTTGTGTGCGCGAATGCGTGCACGGGCATCTATGATCTACGCAAACACATGTAAAGGGTAACTAGTGACAGGACTCACACATACATAGATGAGTGTAATCGAAGGACTGCGCTGCACTGCATGCACCGAGTCTGAAGCGGTTCGGGATGATATAGTGAGGCCGAGGCGACGGGTATTTTAGTAACAAATTTAAGCCTATAAGCGACAGCAGCAAAGTCATCTGGAATTTTCCATAACTGTACAAACTAGTTAGAGCAAAATTGCAACATTGTTGAATAAACATATTTCAATCTTAGAAATTAAAAATATATAATGTTATTCGCGGGATTTAATCTTTAGGGATCCAAATAAACGTTCGTTGGGGTAGACACATATGTTTTCCTTTAAGTAAATGACAAATTTATTAAGGGCTGACGCAAGTCATTACAACAGTTACACTATCTAAGACCTATTTGATACAAAAACACTCATGTAGCACTCGGGCCTAAGGCGAAAGGAGTAGCGACGCCTCAACAAAGGGGCGCATTCACAGGGTCCCAGTGTAAGTGGCGTGTAAGTGATTGCGTATATAACCGTGAACCGCGTCCTTTAACGAGCGGGCACTTGGCTGGGCAGGGCGCGAGGCGGGGGCGGCGCCTATTCCTAGCGCGAATCTAGGCCGGCCGCCGACCGCGGGATGCGGTTTGTGTCATAAGCGGAAGCGGCGAACCGACGTTGCAGTAAACCAACACGATGCCGTCCGCCGTATTTGATCCGCTTAAAACTCCTCGCTTGTTGTACATATTTCATAAACATCTAGAGGTATCTAAAATAATTGTTTGTTGATGGACGACAGCTGTTGTCGTTATGAATAACATTTTAGTTTATCCCAAAATACGTACACGTAACGGTGTTTTATTAAAAAAAAATTCAGTAAAATTGTATTAAGAGAACTTGAATAAGAATCGATTGAAATAGACTTGTACCAAACGAAATTTTGACTCCGGCCACATGATGATGCCAGCGCAAAAAATAATTCTTAGAACAAAGGTTCAAGATCTACATTCACACTTAACACGGATTTCAATATCAGGTCTTGACTTTAATTAATCTTTTCGTTGGAATAACTAAAATATAGGAACATAGGAACATGTGAAAAGTAAACAAAGAAATGTAGGTTTTGTAAAAGTTTGGTTATGTTAGGTAATTGATTATAAGATTTTTAAAGTTATACTTCTTTTGGTGCATTTGGAAAAAATATGTGAGCAAAATTTTACGATACCCGTGCACACTGACGCCCAAAGGGAGATATTTCGTCATGTCTCCTTTTGTTGTTGTCTTTGTGCAAAGCGACCAACTTCGACCTTCACGGTATTACCATGCCGACAATTTTTTACTTATAATTCCAAGTTATTTACAGAAATTTTCTATTATTACTCTAGAAGTAGTACTACTTCTTTCTTGCGTACATAAGTATGTAGATATTTTTTTTCTACATTGCATCCCGTTCATAAAAATAGCCATATTTTACTTAGCACGTTTTTATCAGCAACCATGCAATCGCGTGGGCACGGACATTAATATTATGCATGGACGTGTGTTTGATTTACACATATTTGTGTTTGATTATTGTGTAACAGTTGCATATTGCGTTATTTTCATAGCATATCTTTACTTTGAATAAATAACACTGGAAAATTATGAAGTATAGTTGGGGAGCAGGGCTACCTCTACACTGACCATCGTAGAAGTCTACTAATCAGCTGTCAAATGGCTTTTCAAAAGTTATTTAAGTTTTCAAAAAGATATAGGTAAAACTCTTTGAATTGATCATTCTGATCATTAAGAAGATCATCCTGATTGCTGCCATTTGACGGCTGATTAGCTGACTTCTACGATGATCAGTGTTTCAGAAACCGGGCGTTAGTATAGGTGTATGTACGATTTCAAAGGCCACAGAGTACCAGCTTAGCGCGTAATGAGCGCCGCTCGGCACGAATTCAGCACCGCCAATTATTTCGTGAGTTTCTCCACTCCAAACGTGACAGTCAATGTCTGCGCCAGCCTCTAAAGTTTATTTATGAAAATCCGTAACGAACACATAGGCGATAACGTGCACTGTAGTAATTTGCGTGCTAGTCTATATACGTTGTTCGTTAATACTATTTTTTTTAATAAACCGTTTGTGTTTATTTATCTATTCACGCAGCCTTGTTTTACGCATCCAAAGTTTCGTACCAATTCATTACAATGAGATTTCGAATAATAAAAGGTAAGAGCAATTAAAACACGACAGATATCGTGTGGTAAAAACCAGAAGACGTCATTAGCGAAACCACTGAAGAGTTAATTATCATCAACGTAGTGTAATTAAGTATCATCTTTTGTATATGTAATTATTATCATTGCTTGAAATTTTAAAATGAAATGAAAAGATGAGTTTTTAATGATTTACTTATTTTTATGTTTGTAAATTTGGTGTATAATCTAGGTTACAAAGGGCTGTCCAGACATCGTTTTTATTTCTATGTAACGCTGACAGATGTACTCTTAAAAGTAATCTTTTCCTGACATTTTCTTTGTTATTTTCTATTGTTTCTGCTCAAATTTGTAATATATAATCAGTTCTACTTATTTACAGTATTTAAGGGTACCGGTACGTCTTATATCAATTCCACAATTCCCACTGTGCCCGCAGCTACAGCCTAAACTGAGTTTGATATAGTACTTTATTCTTATACAAAAGGATAAAAGCGCGTCTAATGTTAGATGTTCACCTCTTACTGTACTCCAGGGTACAAGCTCATCTTAGTCCCACGTATAGATGTAGCTATGACGTATACCGACACCCAAAGGTACGGTCGGCTTTTTTCATCACCGACTGAACCAGAGGGCACACGTTCTTACGTTATTGGACCACGTCACTAGATGTACTCATTGTACAAGCGCGCCTAATGTCAGTTCCACGCCGTGAAGGTACCAGCGTCGGCCAACTCGCATTTCGAACGTCGGCCAACGCGTCGCTAGCGTAATAAGCCGAGTGGTTAACCGCTCGGCGCTCGCTAGGTCGCCTCGTATAATCCGACTTGCGCAACATCCGCGTTCATTATTGCTCTCGACTCGCCGCATGATCTATGCCCCGAGCGGGATCCGTCGCGGCCGCGCCGCATATCGCTTGCGCTTTCGAAAGCGAGTCTTTGTTTTCACTCCGCAGCGGTGATTTATAGCAACGGGGAGATCGTTCGCCCGTCCGTGTTGTTACTATTGAATCGTCGAGCGGGCGCGGATCGCTCGTGTAGCCGATTTAAGGGGCCATACCGCTGGATGCTTAGCCGATAAAATTAATAGATTTTTAGATAGTGAAAGTTGCACATGAAGTGCATAGCAGACGAAATTCAAAAGTCTAAATAATTCCGTACATCAAGACGAGCCGACCCATTCTGCAACATCAGAAGATGAAATGCTTTAAATTTTTAAAACATTGTTTTTTTTTGACACATAAAAACGTCAATCTTTCATAGTTTAGTATGATGATATTGCTTTTCTATGTCTAAACTATTAGGATACTTATTAAGTAAGACCTTCACTTCATACTTTGTTGTATTCCGAAATATGTTTAAACGAAAAATACCTTGCACCCTCAGCCCTCGATATGCAATAAACACGCGTAATACTTCCAAGTATTGTATCAAAACGGCGCTAATAAGCGAAGGCGAGCGATAGTGTGTCGAGCATCGCTAATCGGGCAGCGCGATGGATTTAGCGACAAAGCCCATTAGAAGAGGAAGCCAATGGGTTCAGGGCTTGCGCACGACATGCCGCGATGGGCGAACCACCGTCCAGCTCGTGTCCTACCCAAGGGCCTTGACTGCTGCACTTTCACCGCACTCCGGTTATCTGTAGGGCGATTTAGGGCGGCCGGTGCATGCCGCCGCCGCGTGCGAAAACGCCGCCCGACCCGTGCCGCGTTATCGGAAAGCCTTCGCGCGTTTACGTGCCAGCATTAAACGAAGTCACGGCCGGTTGGCGATCTCCTAAAACCCCTGTTTGCCGCCCATCGGCATTGCCGCGAACGCGATAACGATATCACCGCAGCCGGCTGTATCGAAACACGCGTTGATCGCAAACTACGGAACGCTGATACGCGTACGTGATTTGCCTATTATTTTCGTACATAATAGGTAAATCCTACGTAGTACCTCAACGAGCTAATTGAGCGTAGGCCTAATACGGCTCGAATGAGACGTGTTTGAACAACTGCATCGCGTTCCTAGAACCTGAACCGTACTTTTGGCCGCCTTCGATTCGCTTAAAGATTTAAATTGATGGGCCGAATTAGGAGGCGTCAGCAATTCGCTCTCGGGCCACGGTCTCGAACTTGTCCGATTTTTATTGCGAGTTTAAAGAAGCGAGCGAACTTGCCCCACTGACCACCGCTGTTTATTGATATAAATATAATGTATGACGTCTTCACGCAATGCCGCTACCGCCGAATTGCCCTGATCCAGATACTCAATAGCGGTTACCATAAATAATCATATTACAACAACACGAAAGATTCTCAAACCCTTAGCCCAACACTAATTTCGGAATCGCACAAACGCTTCAATCCTCTATCGCTTAGCTGTCCACCCAGATTAGCGATGGCGTTAGTCCTCCCCGACTAAAGCACATTTTGGACGCGCTAACCTAATTTTATTCTTGTCATCCCGCCTGAGCGCCCGTGTCTCCTGAAAAGTGCATTCGGCTTCTTCTAGTTTGAAACCGCGCGAATCGTAGAGGTAGTTGCGTGGTGCTGGCGGGGAGGACGGTGGGAGGGGGGGCGAAGTCGCTCGCCGGTTTGCGCGCCGTAACCTACATACCGGTCAACACTCCGGCTCAGTCAACACTCGCTACAGGGACATTAGGAGCGTTCGAACCGCCAATCCACTTGTACGAGTCCGCTGGATCGCCGCGCGAGGACGTTGCGGGTAATTGCGACGAATGGTCCAGTGAGAGCTTTATGCCATAAACGTATTTTGCACTAAGCTACGAACACGCGACGACAGTTAAGCAAGGGCGCCTGTTAAGTCGGTGTCTGTACAGTTTATATTCGTCTTTATTCAATTTTAATAATCTGTTAAAAGCGTGCTCAAAGGAATAAGCTCACACCGTTGTTGTGAGGAATATTTAAACCCTTTTTTTATGTTCATTTATTGAGCCAAATTGCGGCGTCCCATTAGTAACAGTAAACAAACCCATCGCTGGTAAAGCCTTACGCATCAATGTGACGTATGATAAAAAATTTGCCATTTATAATTTCAAATCTAACAATCACTTTAAACTCTTTTAATTCTTCTTACTATTTCCCATTTAGTAGAATACAAACCTTTTCATCGAACAGCTCGACTCCACTAGTAACATATCACACTCACCTGAAAAGAAACGAAAATTTGTGTTAGTGTGAATGTTCCACGGCAGGTTTTATTGTTTCCGCATCAAAATGTTAATAACGGATAGGAATATTTCGGTATTTTACAACTGTTTATACATCAAGCAATCGTGTCCTCTTTTGCAGTGTGTAGATAATCTAGAAAAAATGAATTAATTTTAGGGTTTTTGTGCTACGCATACGCATTAAAGACTGTGCAAATTAGATGCTTATGCAGATCTAATTATTTTTACTTAATTCTTTAATTTATTGTTCTTGGTAACGAAAATATGTATTAAAGAGATAAAATTACAGATAAACTAAAAACATTTAAATTCTTGAAGTTTATTTTCCGCTCATTTTATTGGGACGTTCGAGTAGCTTGCAATTTGACGTGGCGGTCTAAACACACTAATGCCAGCATTAGATGCGACTAGACAAGGCCATAGCTATCAGTGAAATGTCGAGAAGGAAAGAGAGGGATAGACAAAGTATTTATTGCACACATAGCAACAACACAAGTGCAATTCACGCACACGCGGGCAAATTTTCTATTTCTATTATGCGGTCTAGGGTTGACTACGAGTGTTAATAAAAAGACTTTAGGCTGCATATTTAAACAGCACGCTTCTGAGCGTGAAATTGAATGTGTCTAACGAGATGGTTTTACAATGCATAAGTTAAAAATATCGCTATAAATATAGTGGATAATTTTCAATAGTAGATATTTAGATTAAAATCTTAACTATTGCAACTGTATCCAAGGCGGGGTGATTTTGTCGCCGAAAGACAAGAACAAAAGATGTTTGAACGTAAGAGATCCGGATAAATAGATCTTGCAATAATGCATGCTAATGGGAGTTTAAAACCCAACGCGATTTTTTTCATTTCTTAAACAAATAATGTAGCATTTTTGCGAAGGTTCGGTGTTTGTTAAGAAACTTGCGACAGGTAAGCTCTTCGCAATAAATAAGCGAGAGTCGTTTGGTTTTATGATAAAATTAATGGATAACAGATTAAGAACACATTTAGCCGATTCGAATGCCATATAATAGTATTAGACACTTTTAAAACCAATTTTCAAGTTTTAACATATAAATATGATGAGACAAATTAAATTTTTGTCCAATGGTATAAACAGAAATGTTATTTCCATTTACCGATTTGAAAAATTGGAATAAGATAGAGAGCGATTTTTTAGTCTCAAACGTATTATTATTAATCCGATATTCCTCACACACGACATAGAAATTTGGCTATTTCATCTTCATCATCATTTCAGCCTGTTTGAGTCCACTGCTAGCCATAGCACATAGGCCCCCCCATAGACTGCCACGAAGTACGATCCTGAGCCACCTGCATCCATCGACTTCCCGCACATTTGCACAGGTCGTCACTCCATCTAGTGGGGGATAGTCTTGGCTATTTCTGCTCCTGAAATGCTTTATCGGAAGAAAACCAATTCAACCAAGTCGACGGGCGTTGCAGGAAACCTTTGTTCGTCGTTTATACTGATTGCTAAGGAGGTTACGTGATATCAGCGGGAATTAGGTGAGTGAGTGTATAATACGCACTTGATAGAGATAAGCCCCGTCCGAACTTGCAGATTGCGACAATGTGTCCTAGAACCCGGCGTGAACTCAAGTACCCTCAATACCCGAGCCTTAATGCCTAACATATTCCCCTATCGGAACTGCCCATTAATTTACGCGTGTGAAAGAAACGTTTTTTATTCTGTTGCAATACGGTGCTATATATATCCTTACTATTATTATAAAGGCGAAAGTTTGTATGTATGGATGGATGGTTGTTACTCTTTCATGCAAATACTACAGAATGGATTCTAATGAAACTTTGCAATAATATAGCTTATACATAAGAATGAGACATAGGCTATAATTTACATACACATTTTATGTATATCTGTCTTTCTGTCTGAATGTTACGCCTTCAGCCTATTCTACGCAGACGTAGTCGCGGGCAGCAGCTAGTATAATATAAATGTAAAAACTGCTGAAACATTTAGATCATTTTATTGCATTAGAAGGCAGTCAAATGAGATTTTGTTCCATTCACGAGCAGTTGAAAGGGTTTGAGTTTTTATTTTCATACTTTATACAATTTTATTTTAAAAAAGAATTTTAACTCAAGTAAACCGTGTGATTGTAGCTTCCACCTGAAAATACAATATAAATACTTTTTAGCATAAAATGTCGCCATTCGAAATATTCTGATTGCTCAAAAATCCATTAATATTGGATAAAAATAGAAAAAAAAGTCTTTAACACTTTATGACTCGGTAATGATAAATTATAGTCAGGCCATTGTTTAGGCATCTACGGATTTTATTATGTTTATTTTTAAAGTAACGAAGATATACAGCATTCTTTGTCTTTAGTAAGGCATCGATCGTAATTTTAATCTTCAAGTTTTGAAAGTTACGTTTATGAAGGATATTTTGGTACGTAAGGATTAAATTTTTCTTCGTATTGGTATCTATCGTATTGGTTATATGGTTGCATACATTTATGTAACAGACGAAATAGTCTTTTAGAAACATCGATGTGACACGTTCTCCATCCGAATCTTGCACCGTACGTTGGCACATTTAAACGGTTTAGGCAATGTTTGTTCTGCCACTTGTTTCGGATTCTAGGGCACTATGTGTTCCTCGCACACGTTTCCCATGGAAATTGGGCTATCTTGATGGATCGGCGCAGTTGCCGCATGGTCCGCGCTCCGGGCATGCGATAAACGCGCCCCAAGAAAGCACAGCGGGTAAATTTAACTGGAACAATGGTTTCCGTGCTCTACTATTCGGCTGTGCACAGTTTTGAAGGCAGTTTTAAGTCAAAACCGCGATAACGAATCAGTGTCAAGAAAACAACGGAGAACTTTGATTAAATTTGATAAATACGCCATTAAAGTCGAGCAACTTTTAGTAACAGGGGATAATTTATAAAAAAAAAAATATGGTTATATATCAAATCCAACATGAATCGATTGCCCTTCAAATTTTGTCTATTCATCCAATTCAAAAATAATTTTGTCTTAAATATTATCTTTAGAGAAATTGACAAATTTGCACAGTTTGACATTTTATCAGTGCATATATTATTTTGTGCTAAATTGGAAATGAATTACTAGTAGTAAAATCAAGTGGTGATTAATGAATTTATTTATTTTAATTAATGAACACGAAATCTGTAGGCCATAACTAAATTTCCAACTTTTTTAATATTAATTAAAAAATGTTATTTTAATATCTAGTTTTAAAACTTTGTACGTTAAAATTTAAATTCGATATATACATGTAATATTATCTACTCTGCATAGGTACGCTATACATCGACTAAAAGGAAACCAACGGCCGCCCCAAAATCGTACTTCGGCTTGGCATAACGCCCGTAAGTTATTAGTCATCCTTTGCGCACTTAACCTATGCCTATGACAGTTTCTCGCTAAGTGACATTTTCTAAATAAACGTAAAGATAAAAAAGTATTCTTATTTTAATTACCCTATCTTACGGAAAGCTTGCCGTCTTAGCAATAATAGGCTAGGAATGTTAATTACAATTTATTGTTCAATATTTCAAGCGATATACAAACAAACAAGCTTTTTAATTTTGTTAAAATCTGTACATTTTTTTATGATGGCTAGACAAATTTTTCAATAGTTAAATTTGTTTGTATAACAATCTATATCTATATGCATATAGAGGGAAATACATGAAAAGACGATAAGAAATTTTGTGGGAGTTTTGATAGACATCTATTGATGACTTGCAGAACTAAAATTACAGCCACTCACCACTAGAGGGCACGCTTTTAACACGGATATGCCCGTGTTAAAAGCGTGTGTGAAATTGACGAAAATTACATATCATAATAAATAAAGATAAATATAAAACTGATTTTATTGTTGTTCTATAGAAGAAACTACCCTTAATTTTTACTACCCATTTTCACGACATACAAATTGAAAAAAATGAGTCATACTTTTCGTGAATATTTTGTTTATTTGATATTCATAATTTTATATGAATGAATATCAAAATATTAATAAGATAATATATTCGAGTAAACAGTTTAAGAATTAAACTTCACCTATTTATAGAGACAAGCTCTTGGTTTGTCACGACTTTCATTACAAATGCTACCTTAAACACAGTGATATTTTGTGGGCTGTGGAGTAGGAGGATTACTATTTCTATGAGTGGCTACTTATGAAAACATAAATTCACTTTTCTCAATATTCTATAATCATCACATATGCAGTCAATTCACAAAATTGAAATTATAAATATAATTTGATACGATGCTACTACGTTCATATTATATCAACGATTGTAAAAAAAATGCAAAAATAATTTTGTTATTGGTAGACATTTTGTTCCCTAAGGTAAGTAGTGTATTAGTTCCGTCAAGTCATGTTCTACAATTATTACATTGCTGCAGTCAATCATTGTAAGCGCGGCATTGTGCTTGTAATCTGCCTTGTCCGCTAAATCCTCGCTCTAAAGAAAGCGAAACATAACGTAAGTCAAAACTGTAAAAGTTCGATAAGAATTTAATTCAGTTTAAAAAAAAATTACAATATTTTTCCGTAAAAATGCAATTTTGCCAATACATATTTGGAGGTAAGGCATATAACATCTTTTACTGAATTTTTTCTTTTACTGAAACATTTTTTCATGGTTAAATATAAATAATTGAATTAATTTTTAACGACATATATAAATGAAGATTCTCACGAATGGGGCGCAGTAGTTGTCAGCTTAGACTTGTAATATGAACGACGCTGGTGCCAAAACAAATTCCTACGTGCAGATTGTCCAATACTTCGACTTGTACGCGGCCACTTTATAAAGGCAATTCAGGTGTTATGAAGGTAGCATCGGGTTTTAACTATGTTTCTACTTTTTTATTCTGCTGTTTCGCGAATAGATAGGCCCGTCCGGGGAAGTACCACGGCCTTACAGAAGATCGGCGTGAAATGGAAATGTTGGCGCTGGCAACACTGTATACCGGATATGACGTTATCTACTCGAGCCAAGGGACACGTGGTCGCATGTAGCAGCGGTCACTTGGATTTCGGCCGCGTTCCCGGACGGTGATATAACCTCTAGTGCTGCTTGTCATTATAATAGTTATTAATATGCAAGTTCAGTAATAGTTAAAATATTAGAATCAAGGTAAAAACGTTAGAACTCTTATAGAAGTATGTATTATACTTCGTTTTGCATTTTTTAAGCTTGGCAGTATTCATCTATAATCGGCAGTTATCATTTAAAACAAGTTGAACGGCGTGCTCCCGAACTTTTTAAAAAAAAGTCCAAAGTCAAACTATATTAATAACTTGTAACTAATAAATGTAACTTTTGGACGCCGAGTGGTCGAAATTCGACCATATTTAATTTAAATTTTAAGTTTCAACAATATTAATCTATTCACAAATACAATACACAGTAAACAGAAGAGTATATATGCGTGTGGGTGTCAAGTACGTCGTAGTGTGTGTTATGTTTTCTGTATTGATTTAATGCATAATTAAAAAAAATTAGCATTCTTCACTCCTTCTCTACATAAACTATAAGCGTGGGAAATTTCATACTCCTCCGTCCGCGCAATTTTCGCAAAACGGGTTACAAAGGTTTCGCTTCACGTATTAATATATAGATAATCGAACATTAAAACATTAAAGCACATAGGCTGTGCGTGGTAAGTTGCACAACGAAACGTACGTCGAAATCCATTAGTACATTGCGACAACATCCGAGGCGCGAGCGAACCGGACGGGAAGGAGCATCGCATCGGGATCGGGAGAGCCGCCCCATCCCCCGTTCGCGATAATTGAACTGCACCTAAATATTGGTGTGGGTGCGTTGCGATTGCGAGAGCTAGGCACACAGAAACGTCTAGATCCGAGCGCGGGCTACTCCGTTGGGGTAGGTCCGGGCGTTTAGGTACGCGGCCGCAAAGTGCATTGCCTCGTCGCCATTGCCGCTACGCTCTTTACAACGGATCTAATGCAGTTATCATAGTGAAAATTAATGGAGAATTGTCGAGGACTTCGTTCGTAACATTTCCTTTTAATGTGTTACGAAACGTTTTTTACGGGATGCTCGAGTGCTGAATCGTGCGAAGAAGTTATTTACTGATTGAGATTGCCAAACTGTCCTTCGAACCGGTTTTTCCGTCAAAACAATGCTTAAAATTTATTTATGTCTGTAAATTTCAAAGTCGTATTTTTAAACATTGTTTGCGTTTTCGTGATCTATAAATATAAAAATCTAGTGAGTTGCCAATTACAAGGATTTCAGCCATAATGGGGATGATAAGTTTCCATAGGCTAAATTTCTTTACACATTCAAGTCTAAGTAATGACATTAGACAAAGCCTAATGTTTATAACTTGCAAAGCTTTACAAAATGTGTATTCATGCTAATCTCGTCTACGTTTTCCAAATTCAAGGTATCATATGTAATTGCGTAATAAAATATATATAATTGGAAAGACAACTAACAAAGCAGTAACAGACAACAATGTGCCTACAATCAATTCGAATCAACGTAAACAAACACGCGCACGGTTTGTTAAAAAACGGCAAAAAATCGATTGGGTTTTCGTGGAAAAAAAACGAGAGACGGTGTATCCCACCGGCGCACGCACACGTGCGCACAGTTTCACATTAGCGCAGCCGCGTGCTGGTGTGCGTGACGCGTGTACCGAGCGGCCCAGACATCTATCTAGACGTCTAGATATCTAGCTGGCGAGGGTGCATCGCTGCAGCGTTGGCGTAGGTTGCGGGGGGTAGGTCGGGAACACCCCACCCGCATCCCTACTAATATAATAAGCGACAGTGTGTTTGACGATCGCACGACTATCTTGCCTGATCGTAAAGAGTGATGTGGTCTTTCTTTGGTATCAAGTATTTGCTTTGAACACAATCACATTCGGACGGATAAATTGACGCTGTAATCTGTAATCTGTTCGTCTCTCTCATTCTGCATCGAGACCAATCAGCTCGATATAGAATCTGTATAGAAAATTCTAACGGAAAGAAACATAGGCACCTTTTTATTATTGCCTTTTCTGGGTGGTTTTTTCGGATTTGTCCCAGACGATTCGCTTGGTGCCAATAAATTACTATCCATTCCAAAATTCAACTCCATTGGCGGCGCGATGCATTTCGGCCGTCCGTTACTGCGACTCGCGGTTTGCTTGTTTTCTACACATTTCGGCGACCGGCTCAACGCTTTCCACATTCAAGGCTAAATAAATGAGGTAGAACCAGTGTGGTGTTATGTATGCGTCCGCCTAGTAAGGATTAAAAGAAGTTTAAATCTTAGACATTCTCGAGCGGAATGGGACGCGATTAGGGTGGAGACGACGTTTGTCTTTTCAACCGACTTAAAAACGGAGGAGGTTCTCAATTCGACTGTAATTTTTTTATGTTTGTTACCTCAGAACTTTCGACTGTGTGAAACGAATGTGATAATTCTTTTTTTATTTGAAAACAGGTCCCATGTGGTCCCATATTAATTCATTGATCAATGGCTCTTGGGCTCCGGAGATACTTAGGGAACTCCTGAAAATCAATTATAAAATGAATACAGAGCGAGATATTTGAAGTCGGATTTGTTTTTCGTCAACAAAAAATTGACTTGTTGCAATGTCGAAACAAAGTCGGGAAATACTCGCAAAAAAACTTCGAATAATATTCGCTATTTCCGATAGTTGTTTTTTTTCTTTTATTTTAATGTGAGCAGGCTAACGAGATGGCGGTTCGCCCGATGTTAAGTGATTACCGCCCCTGAACGTTCACAACACCCTTAGGGTTCCAGTAGCGTTGGAGAGCCGTAGAAAAAATGTTATCTTAACTATATAACTATGGGAGTCAGTGATGCCTATGGGTGTCATAGTTTAAGGTAAACAAATAAACCGTTGGCAGGTAGAGTGAAATTATAAATTAGAAGTTATTATAAAACTACATAAATATCTAACAAAATGGCAAAAGTTGGGGCATCCAAAGGCCACCGAATGATTTGTAAGTTACTAGAAATGCTATAAAATACAGTTTTGATGCTTCTAATTATCTTGTTATCTCTTTAAGTTAGTTTTGAAGGATTACGAAAGTGGCTTATTATTAAATCGTTCTTAACAACAAGTTATGTACGTTACATAACATGTTTATTGTTTACGAATAATTTGTGGCAGAATTAATTAATTGCGTTTACTAATCTGACAGTTACGGCATTTTTCGACCAGAATTAACTGCATAAACATTAAACAGTCTTCATTTTTTATCGAAACGCCAGCAACACTGAGAGTAAAGTACATACTGAGAAGTGTTTTCCACGAAGGATTCGTGAATGATCTCTTTTTCGTACATATTTTTTTATGTATAAGTTCAAAAATTAAACTCTTATAATAATGTTACATGCATTTATTCGTTTTTCGCTTTTCATCTTATCCTGTTCCTACAGTATGTTCCTATTGAATGTAACAGACATTTGAATAGGAAAAAAACCAGTACGTCCCAATTAACGCTTAGTCATTAAAACTAAGCATGTTTCATGTATCACTTTGTTTCGCGGTAATTTATAAATTTTTATACGTATATTATTTCTCGTGTTGTAATGTAATACAATTCTAGGGAGATAATACTCGTAGAGACATAAACCGGGAGACACAATGCGCAGAATAATATCGTTAATCGAAACGAGGCTATTTTGGTCCGTTTCGAATCAAAACATTCGATAGCTTGCTAGTTATGTAATGCCTACATCAATGTTTATTTACCAATACGAGTATGTATGTCCCCGCGGTCGACGACCCCGGCTGTCGGTCGGTGAATTTCGGCTTTGTCCGCGCTTTAGAGGAGGACGGGCTTATGCGGAAGTGCACGGGCGCGAATGCGTGCCGACGGAGGGTAGAGACCTTGAGCTGGCAAAATCAAGGGTAAGGTGGTGAGTGTGTGTGCGTGAGTCCTGAACCGGCCCCGTGTTCGTACGCCATTACCAGTATTTTAACGCTGTGTAGATGTATAGCATATTTGTTCTATTAATAATGTTCGTATTTTACGCTATAAATTAATTTATCATTAACAACTTAAATCTATATTTATCCAGTATAAAGTTGGCATAGTAAAAGTTCAGGATTGACTATAAAACGCAATATTACGACCGTTTACGATAATTTTCTTATACAAACAGAAAGTATAAAAAATACAACTGCACGTTATGGAGAGCGATATGCACGTAGGCAAATCCGTTGCGAGCAATTACGTAATGTAATTGCTTGACCACGCCGCGCGGCAATAAAAATAAAAACTCATGTCAACAAGCAACACCACGACCACGTGCTCTACCCGAAATAGATACGCGCGCACACAACGACCGACGCGATGCATACACACACACGCCATACGCTGCGAGGCTCGCGGAAAAATCAATATTTTGAGCAAAACTACTACTTCCCTTAGCCTACGTGTGTGAGTTCGCGTGCTCCGCGCGCTGGACAAAAGTCGCAACAGCCGGCCGAGGTGCGAGCCGAATGGCACTTTAAAATTGCCGCGATAAAGTGCCATTTCGCCAGTTCATCGTAGGGGTGGTTCAATCGTAAGGGTTCGGAGGCGTATCGCCGTCCCGCTCCGATCAATCGGGCGGCTCGGTCGCACGGCCGCGTGGCGGCGGGCATCGACCCCGGCGCGGTCGTTACCCCGCGACAGTTGCACCCTGCTACCCCGTGCCGGTGGCTCACCCTCGTTTCTGCCGAATCTTGGACTCGGCCGCAGCGCGCCTGACATTGACTCGGCCGGGTCAACGAACCCCACAATGGCGCTTCCGATATCCGGCGCTAGCTCTCGTAATAGTCGTGTACTCCAATTATAGACTTTTTTCGCGCCGCCTTTTTATTCCTTCCACCGTGAAGGAGATCTGCTTAACAGTTAGCTTCCTAGATATAATTTAACTTTGAGTTGGATTATTACAGACGCGTTATCTTTTAAATCGCTATAAATACGTTGGTGCCTAGTGTGATATTGCACCAAAAGAAGCGCAGAATATTTACGTAACACCTAAAAGCATTTTTTTTTTCTTAGCCTGGAATCGTTAAGGTCAAGACTCATAGTTGTTAATCATCAAAATGTCGTCATAAATCGATAATCGTGGTCTCATACAGCGGGCTGTAAAGGCGGAATACACAACACGTCGCACCGAATTCAAAGTGGATTAGGCGCGAAGGCATGTCCACCGGAATCCGTGTCGGCGCCAACACAGGCGCGACGAAATCTCCATGCACCTTACCGAAACTAACCGTGACTAAACAGGGCTGCCCAATGACCGTGTTTGTCCAAATGCAGGTGCGGACTCCCGTTCTGAACTTATACGCGCTGGAATAATATATCTATGAAATAATACGTCTTATATTTTCAGTTTGTAAAATAAATGAGATATATTATTTGAATTACATAGCTTAGTAGCACAAATTGAATTTAAAATACTTATTAAATAATCCACTTGGGAAATAAATAGATTTATCGTTAGTTAAGTATAAATTAAATATGAATAAGTCTGAAGAGGTTTAAAGCTTTTATCGAACTTATCTACGTTCTGCAGCAGCAGACACAATGTCAGATGACAAATAAAAGTAAATAACTACATAACTTATTTAAAATCAATATACCTCTCACCCAATGAGTCTTCAAGACATACCACATGGAAAAATGGTAATAGAGAATTTGCAACATTTCAAAATACTTTAATTAATTGTCTTATGTGCGATAATTTCATTAATAATTATTAAACAAAACCCAGTTCAATGAATAAAAATATAACAGTAAAATAATTATTTTTATACATCATAATTATACTTAGCATTTGTTTATAAAAATATATGTCAAAAAAAATTTCAATACTTAATTCAGCAGCCCTATTGAGCATTTAGGTAGCGCTGGGGGTTTTTAATTATGAATTAAAATTGCCGAAAACGCCGCGATGACGTGTTCAGATTGTTCTCCGAAAGTGCATCCTCGTTAAACTGGAGTTTATTTGACGCGTAAATTATAACAGCATTATGGGACATAGCCGTTGAAGCGCGAAACGTTTTACGAGTGACTGTAAAACGCACGACACGCTCTTAATTTTTATCGGTGGCTATTTTCGTACTTGACAAAATAAAAAAAACGCAGTCGGACAATCTGGGCGTTTCCACGAAGATATCGACGACACCTTTTTTAATTAATTATAGCTGTAAAATAATGTACGTTGATAGTTAATTAACAACATTTGCAATGCTTAATGAGATTACGACGATCAATGCAACAATTTGTCGACAATCTGGCCCAAACTCTACGGTTAATCTGTCACGCGCTTATTCAGCTATGAGTTGTGTCGCAAATTACCAGGATGCAATTTCTAAATAGTACATCAATTCACGTCATAGCCAGTTTAGCTAACCGTAACTTTAATGGGACATTTCCTCATATCACATTTGCACTGCCTGGTATTTTGTGTTGCGTATGTTTTAACGAATTTTATTTGTAATTGATCGTCAGTGCAAGCAATTTAATCAGCTTGAGTTACTGCGTTATTTGTATATAGTTATTGTTTTAGATTTAGTTCGGTAAAACATTAGGTGTCTCTTCACCCTATCAAGAATAAAGAATGTGATCTTGTTAGGGCTGGTTGCTGGTACCGATGCTGAATGGTTTTATAGCCTGTGTCTACTCAATGTCTGTGATGTCATTGTGAAACCCTCTGACACTAGCATTCCAGAGTACATTTAAACAAATCTATTTACATGACAAGATGTCCATTTTAAACCTTCATTCGTGTAATTATGTACCCGGTAAGTGAGAAGCGTATTGGGCGGCCGCGTTTGAGGACGCCCATCAAATTTAATTGGTCTTAAACTTCTTCCGATATAACTGCCGTGTGAAGTACTGAAGTGAGAAGCTGTGGATAACATGTTATGATTACGTAACATAGGTTTGTTTTATCAAGTTATTTTATATCCTAATATTCAGTTACCTAAAGCTTGTAGGTTTGTGTCGTGTGTCGAATTGTCGCTATAAAATTCTATCCACATTTATATTTTTTGCATTTCGCTTGATGAGCGGGTTCCTCACCACTGGTATCATCATTGTTGTAGGACCTCGCAGCAGCCTCTGCTGTTGAATGGGCAGGCTTGCCCAGGGACGTTCCAGGGCTTCCAGGAGACCGCTGTGAAAGGAAGCAGTATACTTTCGCGTGTCGTCTATTGAGCGAGGCAAACGGGGTCCACTTTTGAATAGGCTGGCAACGCATCGCAACGCACCAGGTGCCAAGATGTTCGTGGCGGGCGGTAGTCACTAAATATCAGTGGAACCGCCTGCTCGCTTCCCACCCTTTCACATAAAAAGTTGCAGAGGAACTGCAACGCCACGGGCGTTTAAACGTGCATTGGCTACAGTAATCATTTAAAATCAGATGAACCGCCCATAAATAGAAAATAAATAATATAGGACACACCACCTCGTAATGTATATTTAAAATATTAAACGATATGAAAAAAAATTAAGCATTATAGTGTTTAACGTCAACGTTTAGATCTTGCGTAGTGTTATGCATCGAAATACATTACCATCGTTTTTATAACAAGCTTTAATTGTGATACATTTTTTTAGATTTTTTTTTATCGAATATTTACAATATTAAATTTAATGTGATACATGTAATACGTACTATCAGCAAGTTTTATATAATCCCTATAGAGCTGTGATAGCTCAGTGTTCGGGCGCTCGCTTTTAATTCAAGATACACGAGCAAGCTGAGTTCAGATCCCCGAGACAGCACCAATGAAATTGTTATTTTTAAGTTCTGAATTATCGTATGCTTTGCGGTATAAACGTTATGACGAAACCTGCGTATTTTCGAAATAAAAAAAAAATCGAAGAGATGAAGTCAGCCAATCCGCAGTGGGGTCGCGTGTTGGCCTATGCCCTAATACCCCCTGCACAAGTGTGCTTTGCCCAGTAGTTGGACTTGAACAGGCTGTTATTTTGAGTTTTACTATGTTACAACTTTTTAATTCTTAAACCGGAGGAAGAAACCGTGAAAGGAATGAGTGACATGATTTTACATTTAACAAGAGGCGTGTTAAATTACGTAATTCTTCCGCGATCTGTATCGATACCGGCGAAAGAGGTCGTGGAATGTGTAGCTTACGTGAATGCTGCTAATAACAGAATGTAGAACGGACTTCCTTGAATTTATCACAACTTAAATATATGTTTCAACAACTCTTCCGTGCGATTTCATCCGCGGGAAAGGTTTCTGTTTCCTTCTCAAGAATTGGACTACCGAATGCAAAAACATTTTTTTTCAAATCCAACTGTTTGTTCCAGATATTAGAGCTTTCAAACAAACAAACTGTTCAGTTTTATTGTATTAATTATCAGTAAGTAGCTGCTGCCCGCGACTACGTCTGCGTTGAATAGGCTGAAGGCGTAATATTCGGACGGAAAGATAAATATACATAAAAATATGTATATGAAATATAGCCTATATCTTATTCTGGTGTATAAGCTATATTATTGCAAAGTTTCATTAAAATCCATTCAGTAGTATTTGTGTGAAAGAGTAACAAACATCCATCCATAAATACAAACTTTCGCCTTTATAATATCAGTAAGGATAAGTATACATTTCAACGTGTACCATACAAAATGTGATTTATATTTTTATCTCTTAAAATACTGACTCTTGGGATTTCAAAACAACATTAAAATGGAAAAAACAACATTAAAATCCCTAAAAAGGTATAACGTATTAATACATCTTGTACTTGAAAAAAAAACCTTGAACCACCACCGAAAACCATAGGGAATATGGACACATAGGACAGGTATGTATTTGTTTTTCACCTCTCCATCGACACCAATGGCAACGGAAATTATTAGTCATTTCCGAATTAATATATTTTAAACATTTAATGATCGATTTGTTAGTGGCCTCTGCCACGCTTACGCTATCCCAATTTTTTTTAATGTGAGAAAGTGGCAAACGATCTGGCGGTTCACCTGATTTTAAGCGATAACCGCCGCTCATGGACATTTGCAACACCCGTAGGGTTGCAGATGCGTTGCCACTTCTCAATAATGTGGGCCCCGGCTACCTCACTCACCAGACGAAACGCAGAAGTGCAGCACTTCTACTTTACGCCGGTCTTCTGTGAGGTCGTGGTACTATCCTGGACGTACCCGCCCATTCGTGCAACAGCGAACACTGTTGCGTGGTCCTACCACCGTAAAATGCATTATTGTGCTATATAAGACTTTCTCAAGCTGCATGTACTATCTTATAAGTACTTCCCTTACGGACGAAATTCTCGAATTATAACAATGTCACTTGTATGTTTTAATCGTGTTTATTTTATAGTGAAAAGAATCAAATAACATTTATGAAGCTTATTGATAAGCTAACTATAGCTATACCCTAGCTAACGCGAACTTAATACTTAATCAAAACTACTGTTGTCGTTAAAGCACTGAACGAAAATATAACGAAATGATGAAAATGCACCAGGGCTTCCGGAAATTAAACGGTTGTTTTTCTTTTCTTTTTTTGTCTTTTGTAAAGCTCCATCGATAGCGAGTTGTTCTATAAATGCATTAGTAAACTGTATAACTTCGGCAGTACTCTTACGAGAATCCTTATTCATCTTTCGAGGTGTACACAGTTTTATACAAATGTACTTGCACTATTATACGATGCCTTTAGAAATTTGCAACAGTGAACAAAAAATATGTACCTAAGTTGTAAAAGTGCGTTTTATTATGAACGTTTAATGTTAAACGAGTATTGAAAATACGGAGACAAAATTTGTGAATAGTAGTGCATATAATACAGGAAAAATTTGGAAAATCTAAACAACTGCCATGGATACTTAAGTAATTATTTACTTAGTAAAATTGACCGCTTACTAAGAACTTGAACAGATGGTATATGTCTTATAACAGAGCGGGGCTACTGTATTTATAATTTTATCCAAAACCTGTTCATCGCCGATTCTTTTGTTATTAAAGAAGGCGAGACGGAAACGTGAATTCACATCAATAACACAGTAGATAAATACTCTACGAGCGGTAGAACATAAATAAGCCCATCACGAGATGCGCCGCGCTAGATTCAGCAACAGCTGTGGCTTCAGGCGGCCTAAGCGGTCGGGGTCAATGCCCACTCGTATTTTCAACATGTGCCGACGTTTTCCGCGTTCCACGGAAAGCGCTCGCCTGTCATCCCTTCGGGGGCCTTCGGGACTCTTCGGCCGCGCTCGTGCCCACTTCGTTCGGCTCCCAAGTTCGTGAGCGACACTCGAATAATGGGCGCTTTTAAGATTCTTATTTTAGACCACCACTATCTGCATCGTAGTTACATCGTAGACACTTTTATGACACCGGGCGAATGTTCGTTCGAAATGGTGGGTACGCTTCATGAGCGCGGTTAGGACCGGTATCGTCCTTCATGCTTCGAGTCGGTGTTTTGTTGGTGGAGCGTGACGAAGACACTAAGCGCTCAGATACATGAAAGTTTGAACCAAACCGTTTTAAAATCGTACTTGTATACATGGGTATGTATGCTTGAACGCAACTTTCGACCTCAATTTTATTACGTTGATGCTCGAAGGAGCCTTGTGAGCTTCAATAAAAGCGTCAGTTGACAAGGACTCTAGTAGATATTTACAGTCTGTACGAACAAAGAAGTCATTTGCGGCGGGTGATTCTTCGTGCAGCCGACTTAGCGGGGACCTTGCTTGAGTGATGTCATCACGTGTCCAATGTCAGGGCCGGCAAGCAGCGGCACGCTAAATACCGACGTTTCGGTCCGTACCGCTTCACCTCCGGTATCAGGTATTCAGATTTCAAAAGAACAATTCCCATTCGCGACGTAAATACAGTCAGTACACGAAGTAAAATATTTAGGATTTATAAAAGTCATGTATAAAATGATCAACTGATAGCGATTTTCGTAGTTCGCCGTATGTTTTGCAACGTTTTCATTTCGTTTGGCCTAATTTTAAAAATGCTTTAAAATTAGAGAACGCAGAACACAGAAATTACAATCGATTTATAGAGGCGTTGGTGCACGTACCTACGTACATTCCGTTGCGAGCGTTGACGGCCATACATACTAATACATTTTCGGTACGCTATTGATCTACTCAGAGTAACGACGTAATATATACGAGTAAATACCAATATATCAATTTAATTTAATTAATTGATACCTACGCCATAATATTCAATTTTAATTAACTAATACGTCTTTATATCATCATAATGTAAATCAATAAAGTGCCGATCAATAGACTCATAAATATTTATTTTTATTTCAATATCATTTATTTCACTAATTTAAGAACGCATGCGATACTAAACGCATTGCATTGTTGTGGTAAAATATTACAAGCCGCGATATCTGGTAAAAAATTGAGATATAATGCGAATTAGAATGCTGGCATCGAAATATTCGTAAATTAGTAAGTAGTTAACTCGTAATTCGTCGTGCTGTTATCTTAACGATACTACATTCAGCTTATTAATTTCGCAGACAGTTCTCGAACTTTCACAAAGGTTAAACTGTACGCTACGTTCCACGAGTGTATTCCTGTACGTAATAAAGCGTTTTGCATCTTGGGCGATGCTACCTACCATCGGTCTGAGTGCTTCAGATCAATGTTCGACTCGACGAGGTTTTATCCCGGCATCGATTTGCCGAAAGACGCGAGACATTCTCGGTGCCGCAAGTTGTACGCTCCGGCGACTGAACATAGTCAAAATGGCGAAATGTCAAATCGGCAGAGTGTCATCATTCAATAACACTATTTTACATATTAAATAATGAATGCCAGCAAAAATTACAAGAAATCAATACAAAACGCTATTTTAGTTTAGAATCGATACTGTTATCAACTGTTAACAGCTTATAAAATCTAATAAAAGAATTTTATGATGTTTAAAGTTTGTGTAAATTGAATATATCGCGGGATTTTCGTGTCAATCCATACAATTTAAATCAGCCATCTCATAATTCATCAACCATAGCATAACTAACTGTTTATACGACACGTAACCATTTAAAAACCGACTATGGAATCTTGTCTCTGACAGTTGACATGCAAATAAGAACGTTCAATGCGTCACCAGCTAGTTTTGAGAATCTGTGATACGTATCGGGAATAATCGCAGTGTCGGGTTGCAGAGTTTCGCACAGATGCGGTGTTTATGGTTTCGTAACGTTACTCTGATGGCTGTGGCATGCATGAGTCAGGGCCGGCCAAGTTCATTGTCGCTCGTCCGAACTTGAACCCGCTAATGACGACATCTCGTCACACCGCACGCTATGCTATGTTTTTGCGCGAAGCTATATCTTAGCTAAAACACAATCGCTTCTTATCGATCGATTTGTAAGGCTATATACCTAAAACCATTCCATGGCGTTTGTTCAATAAATTTCTTATTAATAAGTCTTCTAAATAATGCAATCGAGGACGTAGTTTTATTCTTTATAAATTTTAAGCGATAATTAATGCAGTTAATGCAAGTCGGGTTACAGAATCTATAAAGTGTTAGGTAATGGTAAATTTTACCGGAGACGATTATAGTAAACGATATTTGTGAGATAGTGTGACATCGAACGTTGGCCGTTGCTTTCCGCACCATTAGTGAACAGCCTTCGATATTAAGACATAGATTATGGGCTGTAGCTATCTTAGCTTTTGGTGAATCACAATCCTTACAGTGTTATTGATAAGGTGCGTAAACAGAAACTACACAATCGTCGCCGTATACAGTGGCTACGTGACAATGACTCCGCGCCGGGTTCGCCTCGGATATCGGTTACACATGCACAGATAACCGACCAATCACACCGTTGTTTACACCCTAACGAGAGAATAACGCGATCTATTCAAACACTACACGAGCCAGGACGGTTAATTATGAACTGTATCGAGACAGAATAAAGGATTCTAACTTGTTTTTCGTTTAGAAAATATATTACGAAATCTCTCCATAAACGCATTTTGCTCAATTCGAATTAACTGCAACATTTCGATAATACTTTGGGATTATTACCATCTAGTACTCTGTGCTCGACGACGACTTTTAACCAGATTTCGCCCAAATCATGGCGATATATGTAAACAAGAAATACATGGTCTGCAACACGCATGAAGTCATGCTGACGTGCCTCAGACTAATAAGCAAATTCCAATGTCAGGTTCAAAGACCCGATGGTGTGACGAACTACCGAGTAATTGATACGTAACTGAACACGAGGATGACGAGTTCCTTAAGAGATGATAAATGCTCTTATTAATAGTATAACTATCATCTTGATCTTTAATAACCTACAAGGGACCGATTTGAACCCAATAAAAATAAAGTTATAAAGTGAAATCAAAATCAGTATTCAAATGTAAGTCAAATCCGAACGGAACAGTATGGTTTAAAAGTGCGCATTTCTGTACAAATTTTCCTGTACTAGTATTATTTTTGAAATTAATTTTCTTGTTAATAATAGAGAAAAAACAATTTATCAATGTTCTAACGAGTACATTGAATATATTAGTTGAATCAAATACACAGTAATAATCGTTTTTTATTGACTAATAAAACAATAATTAAAGCCACTTGAAAGATACGTATTTTTAAATTTATTTTTATAATAGTTTATAGTAGGCCATTAATTAATTAATTAATTTAAAAATACTTACGACGACTTTCATTTTCAACTCCTTTCCATGGTCACTGTAATAATATCGAACCAACACAACAGTCTTCGAAAGTCAATGGAAATTAAAAAAAAAAGCCAATCTTCCAAATTCAAACCGCACGCGAGCGACGATTTGCGAGCGTCGTAATACAAACAAGGATAATGAAACGACAATCGGTCGTCAGTCGTAACAGAATCCACTACAACTTACTGTAGAAGCACTGCCTTAAAAGCCCAAAAACGCACTCGTTGATCTGCTTAATAAACGCATCGATCACAAAACGAATCGCGGAAGGCGAAACACCGATAGAATTAATTCTAGGGAGTCCCGCGCAACGGACGGACAATAAATATAGGCGCTATTATATTCGGAGTTTACTCGCGGCCGCCTGCGGGGCCAACGACCGTCCTTAACGCGAGGCGGTCTCGACTGATATGGTACCGTCTCTTTCTAACGGACATCGCGCTCGCTCTTCAGTTACCTTTATTCAAATCAATTGGCGTTTTCATATTATACAATGCTAATATATTTATGAGTGGTGGCGTTTTGTTTCGGTGTGTAAATTTTCTAAATTTAAACATTTAAATATTATCTTACATAGTGTATTTATTAACATTTTGTCCACTGTAACGGTTAAGGCATGAACATAATAAATAATTAATGATCTCCAAAAATAGTCTCCGGGATACCTCTGCGCGAGAAACCCATCGTGTATTAGTTGAAATTTATTGAATAAATTTAAATGTTACATTTTCACGACCGCCATTTTTACAAAATTATTGTTTATTGCATACTGTTATTGTTTATTGTTCCTTTTTTGAATTTTTTGAAAATATTATGCGGTCTATTTTAATTCCATCTTTCGTTAACCCTATAAGTTGCACTATTTTCATAAAAATATTCTCAGAGTAACTGGCTACTGCGTGTTCCCACATACTTCTGGGTCGGCCCCGTTCTTTAATCTTTGGTCCTACAAATGCAACAGGATTTCCTCTTCCTCGCGCAACCTCTCCAATTCGAATAATGTAAGCCATTCTCTTTTTTTTTTTAAAAACTTTTAGCATTATCGATATGTGTGTAAGTTCCGTTTTTTTATTTGAAAAGTTGTCAAGCGAGCAGACGGTTCACCTTATGTTAAGTGAATACCGCCGGCCATGGACATTTACTACACTCGAGGGCTTGCAGATGTGTTGACAACCTTTGAAAATTGGGCTCCGGCCACCTCACTCACCAGACGAGACGCGAAAGTATTATACTTCCACTTTACGCCGGTCTTCTGTGAGGTCGTGGTACTTACCGTGGTACCACGCAACAGCCGAGGCTGCTGCGTGGCCCTACCACCGTGAAATTTCTTTATCAATGTTATTGTTAACAAAAGAGCAACTATTAAATTGACAGATATAAAGGAGTATATAATGTAAAGGAGAGTGCAAAAGTTGTGAAAAAAGCTCCAAGACCCATGACAACTTTTGTTAAAATCTCGAGTTGAAAATTCAAATATCCTAGATTTATTATGAAATTATTAAATAAATGGGATAACTAAACTTCAAACCTTTTAGTAAAAAAAATATTTTAAACGAAAAGTTTTGAAACCTTCATTTTAGCGAAGATTTGCTTGTTTTGGAAAATTTTACCCATCCTTACAATAAATATTTATCACGCCAAGTCAATAGCTAATACGATAACGAAAAAACGATTAAAAAAATAATTACAACATTATCAACTATTATTTTTTAAGTTCATATTTGTTAATCTGTTTGTACGTACTCTAAAACCTCCGGAAATATTGGAGCGATACGAAATTCGGTTCAACATTCCAGTGCAAAATTTTTAACTAACTCCTTTTAATAAAAGACGATTGCGTCAGAAAAAAACGCTGTGAAATTGGACAGTTGCTAGGCAACAGTTTTATGCTGCCATTTATTAATGCTAAAATAAAAAAAAATGTTATTTACAAAGAGATTAGTAAGCACGTGCAAATCAAATAGTTGTATATAAATTCGTTACGCGATATATGAGGCGTTTAACGCGAAGTACGATTGTAATATACGCCAACAGGACTACGTAAGTCCCCACTCCATTCTCGTTATCTCAACGATCGGGGTAGAGTCCAATAAAGGCCAGGACGTCACGTTAGGACTTATGTTTATAGCTGGTTAAGTTTGCGCGATGTTCGTAACAAGAACTGCGGCACCAAACCGTGTAAGTAGATAAGGGAAATGGTGGGAAATGGTGAAATATCTTGAGGTGGCCGGTATACGAACTCACTGTAGAGTTAAAAAAAATTACCAATACCAATTGTGTGAGTCATGAGTGTGTGTCGTGATGTTATTAAAAACGAACTAATTTAATTACATAATACAAAACGTTAGTCTTAAAATTCAGATCCGTTTTTGTTGTTTGGAAGATGGCAAGTGAGCCGGTTCGCCCGAAGTTAAGTGATAAGCGCCGGCTGTGGACATTTGCAACACCCATAGGGTTGCAGATGCCTTGCCAGCTTTTAATAAAGTGGGACTCGGTTACTTGACTTAACAGACGATACGCAGAAGTGTAACATTTCCTCCCTTCTTCTGTTAGGTCGTGGTACTTCCCGTGACGGTCCTGCTCATTCATGCAACAGAGAAGACTGTAACGTGACCCTGCTTAGTAGAATTAGAGCTAAAAATTTAGATTTTTTTAAAGAAATCATTTCCAATTTCTTTTCATCTTTCTTGGCGTATGATCCCATTAGATCATAGGCGGATACACGTCTATAGTAGGCAAACATTTTTCAATTACAAAGATTATGACTTTTTTAATAGTCTACGTACTAAAAAAGCGAAATATACAGTCATCGACATGTTGGCATCTATGTACTTTGAAAAATTTAATCAAATTAAATGCTTTTTTGTCTTGTACCGTGTTTCCAGGTCTATAATGAAGATTGTAAATATAAAACTTCTTTAAAGTATAAAATGTAAATTAAACCAAAAATGCAACAAACGTTAGCTGAATAAGCGCAAATCGTGAATTTATCAGGTTGATAACGTTGCAGGTGTCATCACCTCATGAAATTCATCGCGAACAAATATATACAAAGTGTCAATTAGTACTAAATTACGTCTTATATGTTTTTTTTTAACTCTTCCGAGTGTCACTGGCAGAAAATGATTTTGCTGTATTAATCATTTATTCTAATTACTATACCTGGACAGTATTTACTCATTTTTTTAAATAGAACTTTGATATTGTAGTCAGTCGTCTTTTAAAAACGAATATGTATAGTTGTATAAAATGTATAATATAAATAGACCGAATATACAATTCCATATTATGAACTGCAATTAATGCACTATAGATTAACGATTCCGATAATATTTTTTCTATAGCGCATAAAAATATTTGTATAAAATGATTTAATGATAGCTTTTAAGTGGTAGCCAACATAGTCTCACAACTTAAAAAGGGTACAGTCATTATTATGATTTATTGATATGGAGAATCGGTCAGAGACGTGGCTTTTATTAGCCAATTGTATCCATTTAAACCTATGACTAAGATTAAAGAATCTATTTCAGTGATAAAAATCTGTTTGATCCTTCACTACATAGTATAAAACAAAGTCGTACCGCTGTCTGCTGTCCCTATGTATGCTTAGATCTTTAAAACTACGCAAAGGATCTCGATGCGGTTTTTTTTACTAGATAGAGTGATTCATAAGGAAGGTTTATATGTATAATACTAGCGACTCGCTAGTTCTTTATAAGTCGATTTGATAAGAATGCTTGAAAAAAGATTCATCATGTTTTTACGTGAAAAGTTGCAAAGCGAGCAGACGGTTCACCTGATGTAAAGCGAATAACCGCCGCCCATGGACATCGGCTACACCCGAGGGTTCCTGATGCGTTGACAACCTTTTGAAAATTGGACTCCGGCCACCTCATTCACCAGACGAAACACGAAAGTATTTATTATACTTCCACTTTACGCCGGTCTTCTGTGAGGTCGTGGTACTTACCCGGACGAGCCTGCCCATTCGTGCAACAAGCGTGAATCATAAACGCGTGAAGTTTCAAATCAATCGTGTAACGTGAAACAAACTATTATCAGGTATATTTCTTTATATGTTAGACATGGTACATATCTCTTAATCCTTAATTCGAAAATGTTATTAACTGCACTGCATATGTTTTAAAATAATGAAGAAAGCTTTAAGGATCCCCAAATTTTCAGCCAAATACTTTTTGTAAGTAGCAGGAAGAGAGTGACTTCTCTTTACAAACTCTTACTTTCACCATATTTTTATTAATGTAAGGAATTAGATTATTAAAGTTTTAATCTACTTTGAGATCTCCGAACGATTTGATATTTGCGCACATGGTAAGAACCGACTTAACTATAATTTTATAACCGCTACTAGAGTACCACAAATCCTAATATATGACAAATTATTGACTAATTTCATTTTTGTCGTGTGATACGAAATGAAAGTTGATTAGTTATTGAATGTAATCTTGTGTAATATTTATTTTTTGGTAACAAAACGTTCGTTTCACTTCCGACTTTCAAAGATGTACTATTAAATAACACGTTTCAAAGAGACAGGGTGCGTTTGGATTAATATTCGCAAACTTGCATCGCGGAATTGAAAAACGTGATGAATAATTCGCAGCGCATTCCGCCGTTCCCAAATTCGCTTTAGAATAATGCGCAGTTCTCAAAAAAAAGCGCCGGCCGTTTGCAGCGGCCCAATTTCAGAAATTGCCCACTCGAAAAAGCCGCCGAGGGCCGGGAAAACTGGTCGCGAAGCGCACCTGGCGAGCGAGCGAGAGGGGAACAGCCGCGACTCCCGTGACGTCACTCCGCCGGGACACGTCGCTCCCGCACTTTCGTAGGAGCCAAGGGGCATCGAATCCGTTCCGGGTTGTTCACGCGGCGGTTTAAAAATAAAATCCCCGATAGATTGCCGGTTGCTTACGCCCTACGAGACGCGTATTAATAGACATCGAGGTATCTTCCATGAACGGATCTACTACGTGAAGTTCGGCCGTCGTTTTCTCGTGACTTTCGAGTCATCTATCATTGAAGCCGGAACATGCGCTTAGTTTTATACAAGCTCAAGTAATATTTCGTGCGCATATCGAACGTTTTCCTTAAATGTTTAAACGAAATAAAATTGTGTTTAAACGAAAAAAAACGGGGAATTAACCGGGGTCACACCCTCTTTTAACCAATTTCTCACATGGGAATTACCCAAAATTACGTCTACGAGCTAAGAACATAGATTTTAATAGTATAAAATATGTTGATAGTGTTCTGGTACATCGGGCAAGAACGGTGTTCCTTACTTAGCTAATGTGCTTGCATTTTGACTGTCTCGACACTTTTCCTAAAGTACGTGTGTTCGTGTATTTATAAGGGTATGTCTTCGTATAGGTGTTTAACTAAATATAATGTGTTATATAAATAATAAAATTCACATTATTCATTCCTGAAAAGGTCTCTTAAAAACCTATTGTTTAACTAAGTAGCTGAAGAGAAAATGCGAGTAAACTGTTCCTTTGTTACTGTAATGCGTGAATTATTCTCGATACTCTTTCTGGAAGTAATTTCAAAGGTAAACTGGGGCAGCACATGAAATTCGTCAGATGTGATGTACCTACAAAACTGTTTTACATTAACTTTGTTTATTCACCCGTGAACTGGACGTGCGTTACATGGCGCTGCCTTGAATTACGCAGCACGTAACTTCGCTATGCGAAAATATTCGGCCCGTTAGCGTCGATTGTCGATTGCGGAGCGTTTTCTATCGACGCGGTGGTTCCGCCGCCGCGACGGTGCAACGGACGCGGTGAAAGTGCAACGCAAACGCGGAAGAGCACCGCGAGCGGCTATGGGCTCTGCGCGTACGGTATTCAAATTTAGAAGGCAAAAGAGAACGGCTCTTTAAATGAGTGGCCCCGATTTAAAGTCGACGTCGAAAAGAGGTCGCATCCTTTTTTATATAAATCCACCAATCAAACAAAATTTCAAAGTGGTATAAAAATTCGTTCGTTTTAAATCCTGTTACGCGAAGGCTGAAGTTGTGAGCGGCTTATAGAGACGTCTATTATTATGTGTGTCTATCGTTAGTACCGAAAAATAAATCTAATTGTACTCGTCTAAATTGCCATGCCAGTAATAATATCTTAAAATAAATTAGGGATTTTTCTAATTATTTTCCTCAAATTACTCGATTTAATCGTTCTGTACTTATCGCACAGAAAACTCACTATAAATATGTTTGAGCATCTCGATTGAGACGTTCTTTGCTAATTAAAACGTAGTAGTCCTGTTGAAGAAAGCCGAAAGGCAAGTTATAAATATCGTTATAACGAACAACCGAGTCAAACCTCCTTAGAGGATGTCGTTTTAAAAAATACTTCACACGGGCTCGTTTCAGCCGATTTATCGCTGTGATCCGATGATGGGCATTTCCGCTCGATGCAGCCGAAAGTAAAACCGAAAAGCGCCCGGGGAATGCCCGCGGCGATTACAGTTTCATATTGATGGCTTTCTTCGACCTTGAAGTTGCTTTACATAATAAATGTCATTAAATAGCTCGATATAACTGTCCACGCAATGTCGCTTTGTTAATGATGATAAATAAATATTGGATAATATTTATTCATCATTATGTTTCGATTATCGGCAATGGAAATTACTGATTACTATAATAATTATTATTGTATTGGAGAATGTCTTCCCTTTTTCCTACCCTTATCCCATCTTTTTGGAATCGGCACGACATGTAGATTGTGTTGTTAATGGTATTGGAAAAGTACTTGATATTCACAATACCTTCCCGTAGCACCAGATTAAGCGTAACGCAAGGAGGTTGTTAATAATGACTTTTAAAAATTGTTCCGGTTAAAAACTATTTCATTCATGAGTAACATAAAATATTTTTTAATCAATCTATAGAACATGTACATTTAACTAAACTATTAACATAATAGGAATATGTAAACAGCAATAGCTTCTTTTGCTGTTTACATATTCTTTTATGTGCATATCTATATTATTATCACGGTGGTAGAGCCACGCAGCGGCCTCGGCTGTTGCACGAATGGGCAGGCTCGTCCGGGTAAGTACCACGATCTCACAGAAGACCGGCCTGAAATTTTAAGTATAATACTTTCGCGTTTCGTCTGGTGAGTGAGGTGGCCGGAGCCCAATTTTCAAAAGCATTTGGAACCCTTGGGTGTAGCAGATGTCCATGGGTGGCGGTATTCACTTAACATTAGGTGAACCGTCTGCTCGCTTGGCGCTTTTCACATAAAAAAATAATAAATTATCATGAGTGGTATTATCAATTGCTTCTCTAGCATCAAGACGGTAAAACGGAAAATAAACAATCAAACTTTCTCTCCGTCGGACCACCGTTCCGGTACTGCCGATTCGATTTTTTTGTATAACAAATTCAATCATATAATAGTGCATTGAACATAATGATATCGTAAAAAGCGAAGTTAACGTACAATATTAGATGAATGTTCTGCTATGGTTATTTTTGAAGAAATAAATAAATATTAAGTAAAATTAAGTGATATTTATATATATATGATTATTCTTCAATGTTTGCACGCAGCCGTAATCAAACATTCCTTTCTCGATGTAGGGAAATTTTTAACGAAACAATAAGTTGATTTTCAATCAAATTCTGTATTTAATTATTCCACCCGTGATGCGGCTGTAAACATCTGTTGTATCAGCTTAGAACGGATATTAACTCCAACAATTTATAGAATCGACTATTGAATTAAGAAATTGAGTGGACGCCAATTAACACTCACAACGGATATGTTGCAAATGCATTGGCAACCACTGAGAGTGTGGACCTGCACATAACTCGCGCACGGGACAAAACACAGAAGTATACTTTAAATTTGCGCGCTAATAGCAGTTATGCAACCTGTTATTATTCTACTACTGTCAATTTTCGATCGACTTCAAAAAAGGAGGAGGTTCCCAATTCGGTCGTATTTTTTTTATGTTTGTCACCACTAAAACAATTTTAAATTTTCATCATCATGCCATATATAAATGTACAGTAAGATATATTAAGTCGACTTTGTGATTTTGTAAACAATAACGTTATGTTATTTACAATATTGACCGACGAGAGCTTAGATATGCCAAAGGAGGTCATAACGTTTGTCCTATTATCTATTATCGTTGAACTAAAACTTTCAACAAAACTATTAATGCCCTATACCTATCGAATTCGTTCAACGTCTCTAGGTGTGGCTCGTTGGAGCGTAATTGTTTAAATCCCAGACCGAAACCTAACCGGCCACTGGATAGGCTACTGGCATTTGTTTTAATTCACAATCTCTTTCAACCTTAACACGTTAGTCGAATGCTGTTTGCGAATCTAATTGAAACTTAATTACTGTTTGAAAGCATATTCGTGCACGTGGATTGTGTGAAATAAATAAAAGTAAATAAGTAGAGAAAGGAGAAAAAAGGAAGTAAGGTATGTATTTATGTAGTAAAGGCACGATTTATGTAGAATAATTCAATAATGGTTTTATAAAACCAAAGACACTTGCTCACGTAATGTTTTCATAATGACTTTTGAGTTATCCAAATAAAAACTATATTATTTCATGATGTATAATTTTTTAATACATTTAAATAAACATTGAATCGCAATTAAAGGAAAATGGCATTAAGCCCACCGCTTGTACCAGCTTGTGAATTAAATAAATACCATTTTTTTCATAAGCCTAACGTATTTACTCAGAATATTATCACGATAAGCTTTACTCGTATTTATGAAGCCTTAAACTTTTTTTTAATATTAAGTTAATAAGAGAAACTTTCTCTCATAAATTAAATTAAATTTGATCATGCAAATCCAAGAATTGGTCTACTCATTTAATGAAGTTGTGTTAAAATTTGAACTTTGCCTGTTAGTTTTCAAGTTCAGAGTTGGAATGTGCTTATATTTTCAAACTAACAAGACAAATAAAAAACTATTTTGAGCTTAATTTCTACTAAACTTTTCACTGTAATCCGCAAACGTATTTTCTACGTGATAATAACTTTCAAATTAATTTTGGACTTTTCTCCTTTTATTACCAATAAGTTGGGACAGACTGCTGCGTGAAAACAATAACTTTCACGATTGTGACTTAATTTTACAACAGTTGGACATTTAAATTCAACGAGTATATTTGTCTGTGTGTGTCTTTCTCTACATCGATAAAATCACATTATACTACGTAGGTATATCATAATTATATGTCCTGCCATAAATTTTTAATCACAATCAAATTGACACGTGAAAGACACGACTACGCCGACACCTAATAATAATTAAATTATGGATCGTTGAACAGTTACATAGCTTACTGTTCATTGATTAATAATGAATTCGCTTCGAAATGTCTGCGCTAACCGCCTCGCGACCACGAAGTTAATTACAGATTCTATTGAACTCCCATACGTCTAACTAGATATATGCCGCAGAGTAAGAGCGCGCGCCCACCGATGTATTACGCGTAGGCACCAAGCGCTTCCGCGTGCGAGCAGGAAGCCGCACACTTTCCCTTTTGCCTGTGCGCAGCAGCCGTCACTATGCATCAAAGCAATACGACCAAACGGGGAGCCATCCCATACTACACACGATCCTCCGCTCAACGGCCTCCGCAACTCGGCGGCGCTATAATGCAGTTAACCAATAAATGAGGTTAAGTGCGGACTGCTTCGCGATGCGTGGCAGCTGCGCGGCACTCAAATTACGATACTCTTCCTGAGCCTCGACACGATATGAAAATTCACACTTCACCCATGGAAATTGATATCCTTTTCACGTCGCTCCCTGTTCGCCAATTCCGCACCGAAA